ATAATAAAGTAAGAAACAAAACCCAACAATATTTTTTTCATACTGATGGATTATGTGTCCTTAAAATAAAACTTTAGAAGCATGATTTGCTACCAGCTATCAACTACCACATGTTCGTTTACCTTCAGAGACAAATGAAGTTACTGAAAATGGGTCAAACAATAACTTTACCAGCTACATTTGTTTACCGACACAGACTCACCAACGTGGGTCAAATATATGACCCAAGCTTTCATGTGCTTTTTATTTCACAATTGCATATATCAATATATTAAGAAAACTACTGGAGTTAACGCTTTTAAGCTGCAACCTTTAACAGAGTCCAGGATAATTATGTTTAGTTTCATATTTTTGAAAAGCACACCTTTATTTTACTGAAAGAAGGAGAAGGGTGTTAATTCGTGTGACAAGCAAATCCTTTGTTAAGCAAAACATTAAAATGTCACGATTTTAAAAAGGTTTCTTTTATTGAATCTGATTTACCTAATGAGGTTAAAACTGCAAACTTTTGTGTTTTAAACACAAAATGACAATTGAAGTATTTTAAATGAACCCATTGCAGAGCTGACTGCTTGGCTTTTACTGTTTTATAGGTTGTTGTGACAAAACATCAATAAGAAAACAAAATCAAGAGAGTAGCTGCACTGCAATTTCCCCTTTAAAATGCCTGTGACCTCATTTAATGCAYGAGTGAAATGACATGTTGTTAACGCATCCATCAAAGCACAAATCCTACGTGATTAATTTGATCTAATCCATTCTAATCTCTTTAGGTTTTTCTTTTTCACCAACACAGTTTGATCCGTTCGCCTGCTGCAGACTTCCTGAGCTTATACGAGCGAAAACACAAACTCTCTATTTCTCTCTCACGCACCGCAGCCAGTGGCTGCAGCATTGTCTGGTTGCGTGGCAACTGTTGGCGTGGCGTGGTTGCTAGGGCTGTTTGTGTGTGCGGGGGGTGGGGGGGTGGGGTGATGATGCTCTGATTTCCAGCTGAATTGAGGCAGTCAGCAGGGAGAAGCCCCCACTCCTCTCCCTCTCCTCCAGCCGACACACAGGACTCTATTGAACAATAGAGCTGTGCCAGAGGGCCCGAGGCCAGTCAGACGAGCCCTTGTTCAGGGTCAGGCTGTGTTCATCCCACAGTCCTCCATGACTAATTAACTTACAGCGGAGAGTGTCGTTAGCACATCTGATGCTGCATCCATCACYGGCGGCTCAGCCCTGGAATTTACGCCGACGGTGAGTTGCGCCTCTGGCAGCGGGCCACGCTGGTACACTCCAAACACATGCTGGAGATTTAAAAAAATAAAAATAAATTAAAAAATAAAAATAAAAAGGGAAAGTGAGGTGGAGCTGCCACTCTCGCTGCTGAGCACAGCTTGCGCAGTCAAAACAAGAGCCGAACTGCTGGACTGGAGGAGAAATATTTGCAGGCCCCGCGATGCAGACGTGAAAACTGAACACGGCTCTGATCGCGAAGTTAACGTGCCTGTGACATATTCAAATACAAAAAGTCAAAGAAAACATCTTTATATTTAAGAAAGTTGGAATAATACACACAATTTAACCCCTTTCGTCCCATAARTGGCATATTTTCTTTTGAACTTGGCTCAGCCAAAGTGAAACAGGAAGTGACATCAAAGGGGAACTCTTCAACAAAGAAAACTCTCTGGTCTTTGTTTARTGAAACAATATTATTTGACTCTGACTCTTCATCTCTGATAGMGAKTCAAAATAATCTAAAGAAACATCAGATTCTTCTCTACAGTCTGTTTTCAGTTGTACCACTGCTCTGTTCACATTCAAACATTCCCCTTCGACATCACTTCCTGTTACTTCACAGGCAAATATCTAAACAACTGTTCGTCTCAGCGACATGAAATTTCTTTTGCAACATCTTATCAATGTCCTCTTTCTAAAAATGCATTCATATGTTTTACAAAAATGTGATGTCACAGGCACTTTAAAGGTGCTTTTTGTGGAAAAAAAAGGAGAGATCAAAGCTGGACTACCCCATGCTTTCAGGAGAGCCAAAATAAAATTAAACTCACACAAATAAATAAATACATAAATAAATAAACAAGAGAACAGGATTTTATTAATATTTTTGTAATACCATATATAATGCAATTGCATATCTTTGGCGAAAATAAATCTTATAAACATTTTATCAACAAAGGTTAGCATACAAAAACCAAAACAGTGTCAGTCCAACAGACATGGCAGACAACAGATAAAACTTATACTGGGTTGGCAGCTTTGTCAAACGCAAAACAAGAACGCAAAYGAACTGCAACAAAATTCACATAATCAATAACTGTTGAGCAATGAAGCAATTAACTTTTGTTGTTTGAGTCCTGGCACCTGAAAACTAGCTGYTCGCTTCTATCGCTTTAGGACCAACGTATCTTTTATTTATGCAAAGCTATGGAAAAACAAAAACATTGAAAATTCTTTCTATTATTTTCCTGCAGTCYTCCTTAAGTTTACAGCGACAAACTTGCCAGCATCCCATAACAACACCTGGAAGCATGAACGGCAGTCATTTTATTTTTAAACCAATCTAATCTGTGATCCTGGCAGAATAGCTCAACATAAACCAAACGCGAGACAAAAATGATTAAAGTAGCTGAACCTCGCTGTACATCTGTTTTGGCAGCAAAATGGTTTTCAAGATTTATGATTTTCTGCTACCAGTCTATTTAAACTAAAAAAAATAAAAATAGCAAAACAAAGAAAAATTGGCAGTCGTGGTTAAAGTGGGGGATAAGAAACTGCTTGGCAACATCCTAAACCACTGTCATAAAAGATAAAAAATAAGAAAAGTAAAAGTCTATTGCTGTAAAACAAACAAGGAGAGATAAACTCAGTAGTTCACAAAAGTCATTTTTTTTCCACATGACCGGTGTCTGATAAAGAATCTATTCAAAAAATCCCATAAATTAAAACTTATAAATAAGGTGATTAATAAAAATAATAATAATTTGTTCTTTTTTTCACAGCTGAACAAGACCAGTGTATGCCAGTAACAGTTCTGTGAACTGCAGCTTATATTGCAACCAACAGTTCCTGCTTCAAAGTGACAAAAAACATTAAATTAAATACAAAAAAATAAAAGATGAATTTGTTGTACTGACTGAACATTTCCTTTTTTGAATCGCTTAACCTAAATACATCATGGCAGCAGGGGAATTTAGTGGATTTGGCCCTTTTCTTTGACTTCAGTGGCACAGGAAAATGTTTGGCACCAACCCACACAAACCCCGAGCGACACTCGACGAGTGCAGGGAGGAAAACTAAAGCGTTCAGTCCACACAAAGCGCCTCGCAACTTCCCTTCTTGCGAGCTGCGTGCAATCAACTGACAACGTGAACTTCCTTATTTCTGTTCTAGAGGGAAGAGCGACGACGAAACCCTTCCCCGGCCAGACGGAGCTGAGGTCAGCACCGACGGTAAAGTTCAGATTTCTCCAGCTGCAGCCGCCCCCATCCCAGATCATCTGGGATAGTTCAACTCAATTAGAAACACCTTCTTTTAAACGGTTTATGACCTGGATGCAGAGTGAGCTGCCTGTTTTTAGGAGGCAAAAACAAACTGCAACAACAAATGTTTGCTTCTTTTCTTCGCTTTTAAACGGTTTGTTTAAATTACTTCACTTTCAAATTAATTCACATACAGAAAGGAGAGAAAGAGTTACCAATTTTCCAGTTTTGAATATTAATTTTTCGAATAACTTTAGCTGTGATTAGTTTCTTATGCTTATAAGAGGTCATGTGACACTATGGTTGTGCGTGGGGAAGTAGGCGGGACTTAAATGTCCACAGACTCTGGAACATGGCAGCATCTGTGGACACTTGGTCTGACGTTTGACAACAGCTGAAACTATAAAAACGTATCCAGTTATCAAACTTGCACACATCAGGGGAAAAAAAATTGAAAGTGTGTGAAGCAGTTTCAAACTTTTCCTCCAAGACCATCATCACAGGTTCAGGGTGGGGTCTGCATTCACTTCGTTACACACATYTACAATCTATGGAGGATGATAACCTATAACGGCACAGTGAACATCTGGCAGCGGGTGGCAGATGTTCACTTTGCATAGGCTGTCACCAAACATGAATATGGCCTCACAATAAAAAAAAAACACATAGAAAAAGAAAAGGACTGACAGGATGAGCGGTGGGTCGGCAAACAGTGAACGGCAGCGCAAAAAACACGAGCAAAGAACTAGAGTGAACCTCGTCGCTAAATTTGGCAGTTGCAGATTAATACTATTTCCACATCTGGTTAATCCTGAGCCAGAGCTCGCGTATTAAAAGGTGATAACACTACTCCGTTTCTGTTTTTTTTTTTTTTTTTCTGGAACGAAGAACTAGAACACTCAACTTAAAAAAGGCCGCCGTAAATTAATGTCAAAAAAAGTTAAGGTTGTGGCTTAATTATTGCATGTTTCACAAGAGGACGCTTCTTTTGTTTTTTTTTTTAAATAGCGGTGTTTTTTTTTTTTCTTTCTTTCTTTTTAATTCCCGTAGCACAAAGAGGAGAAACTGGTAACACCAGGAGGTTAGATTTTGTTTGTTACAAACATGCACTCATTTGCTTCATAAATAGATTCACTTGGAAGAGGATAGAGGTTTGAGGAGGAAGCATGCAACGCTTTCAGTTATAAATCCTTCAGCTTTCCCCCCACGACCCCAACAGTTTTTGTCTTTGAAAAAAAAAAAAGGATTCTTGAATCACAATCTTCTCATTCGACAGAAGCAGGCAGATAGTTTTTTGAATAGGTAATCTTGATGGTTCACAGCCCAAACACCCAGTCTCCCCAGGAGTACCCCCCTCCCCACCCTTGAGTTACTCTATATGGCTTTGTTCTCCTGTGTGAACGATACTATTGCCATTTGTTTGTTGGACAGAGATACTCCCAACCAAATAAAAAAAAAAGGGCTCAAAATGGCCAAAGAGCGATCAGGTAAGGAGAAGGAGGCACACTGGGACACGATCAGGGGTCAGAGGTCAGGATCCACAGGGGTCCAGAGTCTTCATTTCCTGTGCAGTTTTGTGCTCTTGACAGTGCGTTTGGACCCCTCCGTGCAGGTGCGTATACCGGCGAGGTGCAGCAAGGAGCCGGCGGCTTCTTTCAGCTCCTCGTCCACCTCCTGCTTCGCCTCGCGCCGGGCCCGCTTGCCGACGGGCCACTTGATGGCGGGGGGCCGCCGGGGAGTCCGCTGGACGCCCCTCTCGTCCCAGAGGTCCGAGTCCTCGTCGCTGTGGAAGCCCTCGCTGCCGGCCCGGCGAGACTGTCCGCCGCCGCAGCCGCCCTCGTCCAGGGAGGACAGGGAGGAGGAGGAGGAGGAGCGCGAGGAGCAGCGCTGCAGCGCCACGCTGCTGTAGTTGTGGTCCTGCTTCGGATCGCTGCTGACCAGGACCGAGTCGGGTCGGGAGAGGTCCAGCGGGCCGTCAGAGTTACCTGAGAGGAGCGGAAGATTCAGCGATTGACAAGCAGACATGAGCTTTTTTTTACAGGCTTATAATAAAACAAATTAAAATGGAGAAACTGTGACAGAGAAATTAAAAGGGAGGAAGTTCACTGTGACTTTTTGTAAAATGAAAAGCAGAATTCAGACACTTTTATGTACAAGTTTAAAACTTTCTTCTTTACAGTAAAAGTGAAAAAGCAGAACCAAAATTTGTCTTTGCCCAGAATGGAAAACCTGTTTTAAATATAGTTTCCTGCACACATGAGAAAACAGAATCAACACTGATAGAAACAGCKCTAACCTTAGTGAAAAAACTGTCCATTTAAATACAAAACTAAGTGATGTGAGACTGGGGCAAAAAGGGTCAACTTAGTAACTTAAACATAAAAAAAATTACTTTGGACAAAATTTTTAAGAACCACATATATATATATA